AACTCAATGTCAAAAGTTATTTTACTGACTCAACTCTGACTCAACTCAACACCTTAATATTTTTGTCCGACTCAACTCTGACTCAACTCAACAGCTCAACATTTTATCCGACTCGACTCAAATCTGACTCATTTGAGTCAGAGTTGAGTCAAGTTTCTGACTCGACTCATGAGTCAAGCACAACCCTGTTCACGTGCTCTATTTTTTTATTCTATTTTATAACATGGGACGTCTAACCCAATCATCACTATCGTTTGACATCGCCAAAAAAAAAAAAAAAAAACGTCTTCCTTAATTCAACTCAAGATTGCCAGCTTGAAAATGATGGTATAGTGTTATAATTTGGCATACCAATGCGCAATGAAATGACGCAAACTTGATGAAAATTTTGGCTCGTTATTTGTACTCGTATTTGATATATAGGCCTCCAAAGTTCGGAACGTTTTTTCTGGGCCACCCGGTATATTGATTTATTTCACTCTGGAATATTGATTTGTCGTCGATAAATTGTTATTGTGACTGGGGCATTATTGGGCAATGTTAACTGTTTTTATTTTTGTGTTGTCCTGACTGTCGTATGACTGACGCCCGTGTGAATGAGTCCCGTATGACGAACCCTCCTTCACCTATTTTCAGCTCTCCGACAGTCTTCTGAGCGCGTTCGGCATCGACACCGACTCGAGCCGCTGGCTGGTCGGGTTCATCCTCTCGGCGGTGCGCCAGATGCTGACAACTATGGCCGCCGAGCCGGACGTGGTGTCTGAGACTGTACAGCTGCTGGACACCCTCTGCGAGTCCAAGGAGCGGTGAGTGAGTGTGGCGTCAGAGACCGTACAGCTGCTGGACACCCTCTGCGAGTCCAAGGAACGGTGAGTGAGTGTGATGTCTGAGACTGTACAGCTGCTGGACACCCTCTGCGAGTCCAAGGAACGGTGAGTGAGTGTGGTGTCTGAGACTGTACAGCTGCTGGACACCCTCTGCGAGTCTAAAGAGCGGTGAGTACCCAGCGTCTGTCCACTGACCTTACCGTGCCGTATGGTGACATTCTGCGACCTGTCTCTGTGGCCCTGTCGCGTTGTCACGAGGGCCGTTCGATGACTCAATGTTTCATGTGCGACCCTCTGACTAGTTAGTCTTACAATTTGACCGCCTCACACTAGGGTCCGAGTGGTGCTCCAGTGTTTTTGTGACCTATCTGAACCCGTTCACCGTTTTCGCAGTGGCCGCGTGGTGATCCGGTGTGAGCAGCTGGGCGCTCTAGTCAGCCTGGTGTCCGGGGACCTCCAGCTGCCCTCCGCCGCCCGCCGCGGCTTGCTCAAGGCGCTCGTCAGCGTGGCGTCCACGGCGCCGGAGCCGGCCCTCACTGCCGACTACCTGACCAGGTACGAACGGATCAACGGAACAAAGGGCCACTATTTAATGTGGCGTATATGTGAAGACCGGTGTCGGATCTCACAACGTAACTTGCCACTGGGAACGCGGTTGTTGATTGTTCTCAGTGTTTCGTATGTTTCGTAACTTGCACTATGCATTTTGTTTTCTGCCCCACCGTGAAGTGATGACGCCTTTTTATATAACCTGTGATTACATTTCTCTTTCGAGTGTCGCTGGCTGTCAAACTGCTTCCGTTGTAACGGACACAGTCACTGTTGTCGGAGGCGGTTCTCACTATTGTAACCCCGTCTCTGTCTGCTCCAGGCTGTTGGCGCCGCTGCGCGCTTCCTTCGTGTCGGTGCTGTCTGCGCCAGACTTCCGTCAGCTCTACCAGGAGGACGGCGTGCGACTCAAGGTCCTCGGACTCATCGAGGCCTTCATCGGTCAGTCAGGGAGCCGTGGAGATGGAGAGACGGCCAGGAGGGATGGAAAGAGACGCTACCCGGCATGGCACGAGTTCTTTTATAACGCAGACACTGGTCACTCTGAGTCGGCGTGGTGCACATCGGTTTCAGCGGCTTGTTTTCTTTACTAGGGGCGAGCACTTGGCGGTTTAATCGCTCGATGATTTGTGTTTCTTTGTTCCCGCAGTTGAGCTTGCCCAAATTGTTTCTGACTTCTATAGAACGTGCGGACTACGCCTCGGTGGATTTACTCGCATAGTTGTAGATGTGCTCAAAAGTACGGGACAGGAGTTACGTGATCCCTTTCAGCATCCGTCATGCCCTGGCGCCGTGCGTTGACTCTTTGTCTGCTCCTCCCCAGGTGTGTCTCAGGGAGCCCAGGTGCAGAACTCTCAGCACGTGTTCCCCGTGCTGTCCGAGACACTCTCCGACACACTGCAGCTGATGGACATCTACAAAAACTACCGACAGATCTTCGAGCTCATCATGCAGCTGTACGCAGAGACCGCCAAGCGGATGCTGTGCTTCCTGAAGACGGTGAGAGGTGGTCGCGAGGTCGAGCGGCAATGTAGACAGTGGGGTTCGGGTGAGGTGGCTGATGTGACAGTCGCTGGTTATATGCTGGGTGAGTTGGGGTTTCAGATTGCTTGAGGCTTGTGATTGATACTAGACAGGGTTGTTTTTCCTATGCTTGTGCTAACCGCAAATTTGTTCCAACAACCGACATAAAGGAGTTCGTAAAATTTGATATTGACTACAACTAACACCAATAAACGTCACTGTGGTGGCTAAGTACGTCAAAATATTAAAAGTAAACAAAATCATTAACTGAAACAGCTCGAACACGCTCCTCCCATGACCGCGTCCGTCCACTGATTTCTTCCTCCATCCCCTCAGACGGAGAGCCGCGCCTTCTACGACTGCTGTCTGAAGATGATCGCCACGTACGCGCGCCACCAGAGCAGTCTGCGCGCCGCAACCTCCGACTCGTCGGCCGAGGAAGACAGCTACTCGGACCTCCTGCTGCTCATGGAGCTGCTCACCAACATGCTGACCAAGGACATCATCGACCTGGGCGGGCACGACGGTACGCCGACGGCCGACCGTTAGCGCGTCTGTTTTCCCTAGTTTTATGCTTCTTTGAGTAGGTATCTGCACTGTCCTCGTTGGGTAGTCCACTTCTCCTAAAGTATTGTCTTTATTTTCTTTATGACCCATTCTCAACCATACATTGTCCTTAAAGGTGCATCGTCAGTAATCGAATATGTTTGCCGTTTGCAGGCGGCAGTGACGGCGAGGACGTGGCTGCTGCAGACGTCTGTCTGTACGGCCTCAACACCATAATGCCGCTGATGAGCGCCGAGCTGCTGCGCTTCCCGGCGCTCTGCAGCCGATACTTCAAACTCATCACCTTCCTCTGCGAGATCACACCGACCAGGGTAAGGCAGACCTGCCCGCGGGATTATATTGACCACGGTAAGGGTAAGACGGAAGACCTATTCCTCACCCTGACGTCCGGGGCAAGACCTTGCGTTGTAACATCACTTCGACCAGGGTAAAACCTTCCTTTGTGAGATCACCCTGAGACTCGGTATTTCCAGTTTGTACATCCACTGTCATGGTTGTGAGATGTAACGTTGTGGTATTTTCCTCAGATACTGGAGCTGCCGGAGAGCCTGCTGGACAACCTACTGAGCTCGGTGCGGCTCGGTCTGACCGAGTACGGCCCGGAGGCCAGCGCGCTGGCGCTCGACTTCCTGCACCAGCTCACCAGCCACGTGGTGCTGCACCAGCTGCCGCCCGACCACCGGGTGCCCCAGGCGCTGCGGCCCTTCGTCAAACACCTGCTCGACCTGATCCTCTCGAACGGCGTCAACTCCGAGGTGCTGCAGGGCTCCAGCGGCGCGCTATTCGCGCTCATCTGCTGCTTCCAGGTGAGCCTTGGCTCCGTTTGTCTCCAGACAAGCTCAGATCAATGTTTATTTCTGTGTACACTGTACATTCACGTGTAAGTCTTACTGTTTTCGCTTGAACCTGCTCTTGCTTCTTGCCGCCGATCAAATGACACCCCTTCGCCCAGCTGGATTTTATAAATGCACGTTATTTGAGACGCGGAACGCGCAGTCTGGAGAGTGACTCGTGTTTTTCGTTTCCAGGACGAGTACAGCCAATTGGCGATGGCGCTGATCAACAGCCAGGGAGAGGGCGAGCGCAGCCAGCGGCTGGCCAAGGCGTTCACGGGTCTGACCCAGTCGGTGGACCGCAGTCTGGACCGCGCCAACCGGCTCAAGTTCCGCGACGCCTTCAAGGAGTTTCTCGTCGAGATCCGCGGCTTCATGATGGTGAAGTAGTCGGCTGTGGCGGCGGCCCGGCCGGCGCGGGGTTAGAGCTGCGCGCCACCGCTGCTCTGTATCGTGTGCTTATGACGGAGGTACTATGTGTGATCAGCTCTCAGGACGGGGTCGTCGCGAGGAGCGGACCGGGCTGTGCGTGTGTCGCTATGGAGTGGCCGCTCTGCCGACCGGGGTGTCGGCGCTGACGTGGGACGCGTCGTGTTGGTTGGACGCCATTCGCAGCTTCACTGGTCGGCTAAACTGTCTCCGTCCTGACTGGTGCGGAGAGACTCCCTACGCTTCTGTCTGTGGTCCGCGCAGAATCGGGTGCCGCCGAGTGTTGATATCGCTTCTCGTCATTATTTTGTGTTGGTGGATCTCGAGCTGATGCCACCGGTCGTGTTTCCTTCCATCTGCGATCTTGGCATTTCATCCGCAGATCATCTCATCTCATCTATTCTAGGTCTGATTTGTTTTGCATCGCCATCCCTTATTTAATAGTATGGATGAGCTCGCCTGGCGACTGATGAATTGACGATTTGGTTATCGAGCTTGTTCAAAACCCCGCTCCGAGTAGCCGATGATCTGGACGACGGCTATGAGTTTTCTCCAGAGACTCTTTGAGTGTTCCAACTTGCCTGTGAATCCGCCGAATTGAGAGAGAGAGGAATGCATTTCAGCCATGTTGACTCGCCGTCTCCGTGTCTGACGGATGGCACAGAAGTGGCGTTTGCTGGCTAGGTCTTGATGGGTACTTTGCGCACGGTTGCTGCGCAGTGTTCTGACATGCCATATAATGTACATAATTGAGTTGATGTTTACAAGATGGTTTCATAAAATTATGTATTAAACAAAAGCCTTCTTTCAAAAGTGAAACACGTTGTATCTTAGCCTTTACAAGAGCAGCAGCAATGGCACATCTGGTCACAGCGCACACAATACACGTGAATATCACAATAATACACGTTCCACAGCACACATCGCTTCACGTTAGCGGACCAACACATTGTGTGCCTTCGGGTCCAATCGGCGTGTCTGATGGGTGACGATTTGCCTCTGACCGAGACCAGTATCCCGCTCGCCGGCGTTCACCGTTTGGCCGGCTCGGCTGACGGCGGCGCCCGCTCGTGCTCGTGCAGCCACACCTTGAGCGGGTTCTTGCGGCCGCGGCAGTAGTTGCCCAGCGCCCCTCCGGCCGTCACCACGCGGTGGCACGGCACCACCAGTCCGAAGCTGTTGTGGCCCATCGCGTAGCCGACGTGCCGGCTGGCTTCTGTAACGCGGCGCTCTGTCAGCAGCTCGTGATCCAGGGAACGGGTGTCGGGTGCAGGCTCCAAGGTTTCATTTAACCCGAAAGGCGCCGCGCCCCTGCCCCCGTCCGGCACTGGAGAGTCCCGACTAATTCCTCCTCAACTTACAATCCCCTGGGATTAGTTTAACGCGACCCGGTCGCGGAGATGTAATGCGAAGTCTACAGTTAATGCGCACGTAGCCTGGTGGCTAGGTCGATTATGATAAACTTTGGTATAGCTTCTTAGAATGGAGTTATAGTCAGTTCACAATCCATCAAATTATGTTGGACTATGTAGGTACTTCAATGGGCGTGAATGTGACCGATTTACCTTGATACCCTCTTGAACTTATCAAGCTTTACTCGTATCATAGATACTAGACTTTCTTTCAAAATTAAACATGTGGTCCGTACTTACTTGGATTTCCACACAGCGCGGCCAGTTGACCATAGGAGATGGTTTCACCGAGACCAACTTCATCCTTTAATTTTTCCCATATTGGGATACACGACACCGCTACGGAAAGTGAAAATATTTTTATTAGTGTTGACCATACCTTTTTTCTGCTACTAATGCTTTTCAATATTCTGCTCCTGAATATCGAGAACACCTCTACAGTTTGACCATTCCTTAGATTAACCGATCTACCAGGTTGGCAATCCCCTCTCGAGACAACGTGGATTCCTGAGACTTCATTTTGGAAGGAGGAAACGAGGCCCTTTAAAACAACACGACACGGTAAGCCATGGAACTTCATTACCTTTAACTTGACCATAGCAAAGCTTCGGCGCCGGCGTCCGTTGGTGGGGGTTCCTGAAGAACGACCTCAGCCACTGTGCGGCCTCCTCGATGTGCTGGCAGTTCGGTCCGCTGTGGCTGGTCACGTCTCCCCAGACTTCCCTGCAATCCAGAACATACTTATTCGGGGGAACCTGCCAATTACACATAATACCGGACCCATCCCTGGCCAAACAGATCAAATGGCCTTCCCAGAAGTGACCAGCAGCAAGAATGTTGTCAACACTTACAAGGTACACATTTAACACAATGCCTTATCTATGTCGGCCAAGGGCATTGGGCGGCATATAAATAAAATGACCGCTTTGACGGCATTGAATTAATAAAAATTCAGCCGTACTTTAGTTCTGGTCATTATCCTCGCATATTGTATCACATATCCTAGAGTTTAGTTCGGTACCATCATCACGCTAAGCATTAAAATCTCTAACAAACACAATTCAGTTCGTGGACTACATTAGCACTAGGATAGATAAGTAGTCAAAACAATCCCTCAAAAATAAAATGTGATTTAGTATAAAAACCAGACCTGCAAGTAGACTTACCTCGCCTTTAACTCATCACAGGGGTCTCCCATCTCCCAAGAAATACTATGCAGCCCAGCTTTACAAGCAGCTATTTTTATATCACATATTGGAGACACAAAGGTTGCCAGACTTGTATCTTTGTGCTGAGATGTTGCCAACCAAGCATGCTTGTCCCATTTTGTGGCAGAGTTGGAGAACTTTTTTGGCTTGGCTCCCATAATGTCTTGAGCATTGAATGTTGCGTTTACAACTGAAATATAAACATTATATCAGGGTTCACCCTTGTTCAACCTGACTCATCATCATCACACTGTTCAAGCTGGCAATGAATGAAAATTTCTGACTGTACAGCTTTTACTTGGTAAGCTGGATTTGGAATTGCATTATACCTATTGCCCACTGCCCAGCTCTGTCATAGGTTCACGCAGTTCAGCAAAAGGGAACTATGTGGCTTAACACGAAGGATTTGATTTCAACAAAACTAAGGAAGTAGGTACTTGGGCAGCACCTTTCTTGGTCCCCTGTTACCTGAAGTAATTATGAATTACCTACATCTTCTGGAGTATGCAGTGGCCAAGGGACCTGCCATATTGATTTTTATATATATTGTCTAGCATTACTGGCAACAAGCAGTAAATGAAAAATATGGCTTCCTAACCACTGTTCTTTGGATAACTTACGAAATCTGACAAAGCTAAAGCTGCTGTGTATATAATTCACAGACCACAGTTTAAGTTATTACAATCACAGGATGCTTTCAGAGGGTGGTTTCAGTAACCAATGCCAGTGTCTTTCTTTTAGATTTTGGAAGCAATTAATTTGCCCTCAATTGATGATAATGTGCCTATTTATTGTTAATGGTAATACCAATCCAACTATGACAGAAACGACAGAAACAGAAACTTAATAGTCACAGTCATATGCCTAAGTCAAAAGGCATAAAGGTGCGTGGATGCTCTTACAACTACCTTAAGTTATGGTAGGTACTAGGGAGCAGTTATCACTTATCAATAATGATAATGAATTAGAACAGTTTTGACAAGAACGTTTCATTGAGCTACTTGAGCACATTACTCTGATGTTCAAAACTTTGGGGTGACTCACGGTACCTATATCAGTCCCACGCACAAGGGGGAAAAGCTCAAATTATTGAGCGCTCAAAATACGAGGGCAGCGCTTTTCGAGGAGCGCTGTGGCCCGAAGGTTTGAACTTTGAATTGTGAAAAACGCCCGCCCGCCGCAAAACGCAAACACCGCAAAACGCACGCCCGAAACGCCAACGCAAAGGTCGCAAAAAATAAACAAACGCCCGCCGCAAACCGCAAATAAAAAAACGCAAAAACGCCGCAAAACAATAAAACCGCCCGCATCGCACGCCCGCTAACCGCCAACCGAAAACGCCTGAAAATCGCCCGCCCGCCGCCAAAAAAAAGCACCGCAAAAAAACGAAAAAGCGGCCGCCAACCGCAAACAAATTTAACACCGCAAACGACGCAAAAAAAGAAAACCGCCCGCATCGCCCGCCCGCCCGCCCGCCGCCAAAGACAAACACCGCAAAAAACACAAAACGCCCGCCCGCCGCAAAACGTAAACACCGCAAAACGTGTAAAACGCACGCCCGAAAAGCCAACGCAAACGGCAAAAAAATCACCCGACCGCCGCAAACCACACAGAAAAAAACGCCGAAACGCCGAAAAAATAAAACCGCCCGCACCGCACCGACGCTAACTGCTAACCGAAAACGACTAAAAGTCGCCCGCCAGCCGCCAAACGCAAACACCGCAAATAAGCGCCCGGCCGCAGCAAGATAATAATTTATCAGCGGCTGGCATACCGCTAGGCTGGTCATTTTCACAAATCAAAAAGATATCTGCAAAAATCTCCTAGATGAAAGCGCCCGATTAAAAAACGGATGGCACGTGCGTGTTCCTCGCCCCCAACTTCCTTCAGGTCAATCGTCATTTGGGTCATCTAACGCATTGACGTATCTGCAAAAATCTCCTAGATGAAAGCGCCCGATTAAAAAACGGATGGCACGTGCGTGTTCCTCGCCCCCAACTTCCTTCAGGTCAATCGTCATTTGGGTCATCTAACGCATTGACGACCGGCTGGGTGGAATGAACATTGCGCCAAGAAACGTAAGTATATTGTCAAAAAGAATCCCCAGAATGGTGGATCCCAAAAGTTTGAAACTACCACTTTGGCCCACTGGACGACACCTTAAACAGTTGCCGACCGGATGACACCCATTGTTTGGTCACCCACGCCATAGTATGCATCATGGGTGCGCCGAAATGACCAAAAGTCCCAATTTCCGGTGTGCAGGGTCATTTTCAACGGCACGTGGCACGTGGTTCTGGACTTTTCCGGCCACTTTGCGACATACCCATGGGTAGTGCACCGAATGGTGGTTGATCCGCATGTAAGAAAATGGGGGGTCGTTTGGATCGTTTTCGAGCAATCTGCCGTGGAACGCATTTTTTCATTTTCCCCATTGGCTTAACACGGGAATTTTTAAAGTCACGTGGCACGTGCACCAGATGGTCCGCGGAGGGGAGACCCATACCAGAACGTAGATCACCTGGCCCACTAGAAATCCTGAAAAAATCAGAATTTTTGGACCAGCCGTTTTCAAGAGCATCAAGTTGTACTGATCTCAGGCAGCTTTTGCCAAATTGTCAGGGAACTCAGATTTGTTTTTCAATAGAAAAACACAATTCTAAAGAATAGTGTTTTAACTATTGACAACAAACCTTCGGTTATTGAGCGTGTGACGTCAGAGGCTCCCATAGGCGTAATGCTGAGGGCTCAAAAAATTGAGCCGTTTCAGGAACACGTTTTGCAAAAGCAACTCGCAACACCTAGGGAGAAATGGCAACACCCTAGGAGAATCACTAATGATGCAAAACAGATTAGGCTTTCATATTTTTCACTGCTCAAGCTTCAATGATTGGGGGAACACCAATTTCTAGGTCGAAATCTTACGGCATACCAGGATGCCTTAAAAACAGGCCAATATTTATGTCGAAATAAAAGTTATTTTTTGTCCATTCACGTTTTTTACTAGGGTTCTGTTGGAAAGAGCATTTTTCATACTACCCAAAATGATTGCGACTCAATTTCACATGTTTCTTATAGGTATCTCAGTAGGCGGAACTATGGTCAAGCGTACCCATTTTCGGGAACGCATTTTCGTTCCCATGTTTGGGAACGATAAACCCAAATATGGGAACGCCATGTAGGCATTATTTTAAACAAGAAAAAGAACTGTTAAATGACGTCCAAAAAATATAAAACGATCGTGAACCGCCTGATAGTTGTCTCAATATTGTTGGGAAAGAGTTTGATATTGTAAGGCCCATCGTAGTTTCAAATCGTTACCCTATTTCTAAAGCAGTCCATCACCCGGGCCGCGAGCCCAAATTTGGGAACGCTCTCGTACACTGGCGCTGCAAGCGTTCCTTATTATGGGAACGGCGTACCCAAAATTGGGAACGATTTCACCGACGCCTTTCAGGGGCTCTTTTCATTAACAAGCATCACGTCCAACGCCGCAAATTATTGTTAACGCAACAATCATCAGATGACCTTTCCGGCAAGACCGTTGCATGTTTCGCCCGGTCTTCTGCGCTTTTATTCCCGTCGATCTCGCAGCGGGCACGCCCCCCTCTGCAGGATTACGTAATCCACAACGCTCAGCGATGTTCAACAAGGTCTTCCATACCTATATCCACCGTCCGCGCCGAGGGTGGAGACATGTCAAGCACCTGTCTGCTAATCACCGAGAGTTGACGAGCACAAGAAGTATCCAAAAATGGGAACGCTGAATATGTTACACCCTCAAAACACCTAGTCCCAATGAAAATCTAGTTTTTTCCTTTCTTAATGAGTTTAAGTGGCAAAAGGCCTGGTAGGATGGGCACGAGGTATGATCGAAATCATCATGAAAATTATAAATAAGCCACACAGAGCGACCTATATCAGAGAAAATCCCCCCAAACGATCATGCTTAGAAACGCCGAAGACAAAAACCACGCTCATGACGCTGCTTATAAAACAACGCTAAACAGCTAGCATCCAAATAAAATATGTCTTTCAGGGCTGATAAAATACAGCTGAATGATTTTAAACCACTGAAACTGAGTTTACAACAGTAGTTCGGTAAAATCACTGACGTTCCACGCGGTCGATCGCCCCGACACCAAAAGTCAACAATATTACCTCGGGACTGTCCGCGTGTTCGCTTGCATATGTCAGCATCTGGTGTCGCTAGAATGAAACTTCATAACCAGGCGAAAATTATTGAACTTGACCTCAAAATGTAAAAAATGCTTCATTTTCCTTAAAATTGCATGTTAAATGTCGTATAACCCATATTTCCACCATTCTGTCATTTTTAAAAAAATCATTAAAAATATCATTCCACGGTCAATTTCCTTGTTCCACGGTCAGATTAAAGATAACTTTATGGAGATTTAGTAGATACTTAAATCAGCGTGCACTTTTTTGAGACGTGATGCACTTTTGAGTTTTAGTGGGCGAACGGCCGAAAAATTGCCTTCCGTTCTCATAAATGGGAACGCCCGTTCCCATATTTGGGAACTCCGTTCCCAAAAATGGGGACGTTCCTATATTTGGGTACTCATGACCATAGTTCCGCCTACTGATCTTGTTTCACATCACCCATATCGGAGAATATTTTTCATTTGGCGGCGCCGTTTTGTTTATTTCGTCGCGACGTCTCCGGTCGCGTGGTTGTCGTCGTCCTTGTGTTGAAGGTAAGTTTTTATCGTTTTAGTTATATTTAGATATTAAAAGGTACACTAAAAAGTTTGAATATGCTGTGATTTTAAATTTGGAAACACGTAAACGTCAATCAATTCACGTTTTCCTCGATTTGCGTGCAGATAAGTAACTGTCGACGAAAGTGGCGCCATCCGATATGATGTTTTGAGGGAAAGAAACACCGACCCCCACCGGACACGATTTGGTAGCCGAGGTCTGTGACGTCAGCCGGGCGTGAAGTTTTCCCTTCACCATAGGCTTCACACACAAACCGGCCGAAGTTCATGCCAGGATAGCCCGGCTTGAAAGTGCAAAAATGATTAAATTTTGCCCTCAATAGATTCATTGCTTCATTTTATAACTAAAAACGTCCGTTATTAGGACTCAATGAAGGTGAAAAGTACTCAAAATCGAAGTTTAAGAAAATGCTGTCCGAGCACAATCTGGTAGCATCACGTGACCTCTTTTAAGCAGAATGTATATAATTCAAGGATGTTATTTTTTTTTTTTCGCGCGGGTGTTGTGGCTTGTGCGCGTGTGTATAGTGATAGGAGTTGAGGCTGAAATTGGCTGAAATAATTATTCTCAATCCGTTGCAACAAAAATTAAAACTTCATATTGATAAACTTCCTCTTCCACTTCCTCTCCCCTCCTCGCCCAGTCCGGACGTGCGCCGAATTCGCCACGCTGTGGTCCCAGTAGCAGTGTTGAACACCAAGTACTGAGAAGTATTTAGCAAGAAGTGTATTGACAGAATGATGAAGTATTGAAACTATAAAAAGGTTCACAAAATTTTGAATTTTGAGATCAGCTTGTCAATATTGAAACAGTAGAGACAAATCTAAGACCAAACATAGAGGCAGATTTACTTCTGTAAACATGTCTAGTGCAAAGGCTACGCGAGCCAGGACTGGCTCCACTGCGTCACAATTGAAGCAAGATGAGAAGGAAAATCAAGAAAAGCAAGACAGTGAAGTGGGAGTGCAAAGAGGGAAGGCGCCAAAGGTAAAGCCAACGAAGTTTGTCTGCAAGGGTGGAAAAAAGGTATGTGGGGTTATTATCATGGATGGGGAGGACTCAGTGAGTTGTGACCTCTGTGAGGAATGGTATCATCCAAAGTGCCAGGGGCTAACAGTAGAGGCTTTTCTAGCTCTGACAAACTACGACTTCATTTGGCTATGTGAAAACTGCAGGCCAAACTTCATGGACACTCTGAAAATGAGCAAAAAAATTGAAGCAAAGATCGACAAGATGGAGGGAAAAATCATGGGAGTCCTAGAGACTGTCAGTTCGGAAGTAGAGCGAAGCAAGATGGTAGAGGAAAAAATCAGCTCAGTAGAAAAGATAGTAACATCGAAGCTCAGTGACCAAAAGGTTGGGGTTGAGAAGGCTCTCAAAGAGCACAGTGAAATTGTGCAGTCAATGCCAAAGATTCAGCTAGAGCTACAAAAGAGCACCCAAGAGCTCAAAAGAATTGTAGAAAAGAAGGAAGATAAAGAAGGCAGGGAGTTGAACTTGATTATCCACAATGTACCCGAGAGTCAGGCAAAAGAGCCGTCAGAGCGGAAGAAATATGACTCAGATAGTTTCCACAACATAGTGGAAGCTCTCCTGGGTGACAATGTGCAGATGGAGATCGAAAAGGTTTACAGGCTGGGAAAGAAGAAGATCTCGGAGGATGGAGCTGCAGAACCAAGACCGAGGCTAATGCTTGTGGGCCTGAAGAAGAAGGAAGAGGTTGAAGCCCTTATGAGGAAAAGATGGGATCTGTCTAAAGTTGGCTTCAGCAACATTTATCTCTCACGAGACCAGACCCCAGAAGAAAGGGAAATACAGAGAAAACTAAGGGAAGAACTGGCAGAGAAAGGAAGAGAAACTCATCGAATCTTTCGGGGAAAGGTTGTCCCTCGGGACAGGTATTAACTCAAGTAGGAAAACAGGTCACCTATCATGCATGTATACAAATGCAAACAGTTTAAGGAATAAGCTGGGTGAGCTGAGGGTGAAAATTGACAGTGCAAAGCCTGACATTGTTGGCATAACAGAAATCTGGCAAAAAGAAGATATAGCCTTTCCAGGTTACCATGAAGCGTTCCGCAAAAACAGAAAAGGATTACAGAAAGGAGGAGGTGTGATGATCTTGGTTAAGGAGAGTTGGGAAGTCCAAGAGTGTAAGGAACTTAGTGAAACAAAGCATGGAGATGTTGAAGCTGTCTGGTGCACCATCAGATTGGGCAAGCATGATAACCTACTTGTCGGGCTAATTTACAGGTCCCCGAGTAATACCCATGAAGATAATGAAAAACTTTTGGAGACGTTGAAGGCTGTTCCTCAAGTACATGCCAGGAAAGTAATGATTCTGGGAGACTTTAACTTCGCTCACATAGATTGGGAAAATGGGACGGTGGAAGGCCCAGATGACTCTGACCAATCCCAGTTCATGAGAACCATGAATGACTTGTACTTATGTCAACATGTCAGTGGCCCTACACGCTTCAGAATGGGTCAGGTTCCATCCAGACTAGATTTAGTTTTCACAAATGACTCAAATGCAATTGATGTAGTTAACACAGAAGATCCACTTGGAAAAAGTGACCACGCAGTTCTGACTTGGAACTACCAATTTTCTGATGCAGACAAGACATTTGAAACTTGTACCAAACGGAACTTTGCCAAAGCTAACTTTGAGAAAATTAAGGAGTCACTAAGAGAAGTAGACTGGGGATTTCTGGAATCTGCTGGGGTAGAAGTCATGTGGAGCGGTATTAAAAATGCACTAGAGACAAGCCTGAAGGCAAATGTACCATTGCACAAAAAGAGAACCAACAGAAAGACAGCACCATGGTGGAGCAAGCAGATAATCAAGTCAATCAAACTCAAGCACAAAACATTCAAGAAATATTGTGAAACAAGATCAGAGGAGGACTATAAGAGGTATGCCACACAGAGGAATAAGACAACGACCTTGATAAGAGAGACAAGGTATAAATATGAAAGATCATTGCTAAGCAGCATCAAAGAAGACCCCAAGAAACTGCACAAGTATATTCGCATGCAGCATACAACAAGACCTGTAATACAAGCACTAAAAAGTGAAAGGGGACTTACTGAAACCGAGAAGGAAACAGCAGATGTTCTTCAAAAATACTTTACATCAGTGTTTGTAACAGAACCTGGAGATGCAATTCCACTATGTCATGCCAGGGTGGATGCAGATAATACCATAGAAAATATTGAAGTGACTGAGATAATGGTAAAGAAAGAGCTTGAAAGACAAAACACGAACAAATCAGCCGGACCGGATGGTATCCCAAGCATTATACTTAAGAAATGTGCAGATGAGCTGGCACTACCTCTTGCCAGGCTATTCAACAAGACCCTAGAAGAAGGACGCCTCCCACAAGAATGGAAAAGAGCAAGAGTAGTGCCAATATATAAGAAGGGATCAAAAAGTGAGCCGGGAAACTACAGACCCGTAAGTCTCACCTCACAGGTGTGTAAGGTTATGGAGAAAATTGTTAAACAGGTGTTAATGCGTCACTTCGAAGAAAAAGATCTATTGTCAAATCATCAGCATGGTTTCAGGAAAGGCAAGTCATGTCAGTCAAATTTGCTGGAGGTGCTTGAAGAATGGACAAGAGGAATAGATGAAGGACTCGGGCTGGATATACTCTACTTGGATTTCCAGAAAGCATTCGATAGCGTCCCACACAGAAGACTCGCAGCCAAGTTGTACAGTTATGGAGTTCAGGGAAGTATATCAGTGACTTCCTACATGGACGAGAACAACAAGTAGTAGTGGGAAAAGGGGCTTCTGACTGGGGTCAAGTGACCAGCGGAGTCCCCCAGGGCTCAGTACTGGGCCCAATCCTGTTTCTCGTCTATGTAAATGAAATACCGAGCCTGTTGAAGAGTAAAGTAAAGATGTTTGCTGATGACATAAAGATTTACAGTACTTTACAAGACAGTCATGATCCTCTCAGGCTGCAAGAAGACCTGAATGTACTGAGTGATTGGTCAAAGGATTGGCTCTTGAAACTCAATCCTGGAAAATGCAAGATAATGCACTGTGGAACGGACAATTTAAGGACAGACTACTTTATGAAGGACGCCAATGACACCGTCGTAAAGCTCCAAGAGACCGAAATAGAGAAGGACCTTGGAGTCTTTGTCTCAAATGACTTAAAGCCAAGTAGACACTGTCAATGGGCAGCCAACAGAGGAATGACAGCCCTCCGTCTCCTGAGGAATGCGTTTGACAGGATCGATGTGAAAAATTTCAAGTCACTGTTTACCACTTATGTTCGTCCCCATCTCGAATACTGCATCCAGGCAGTGGGTCCACACACTGTCCAGGATATGAAGACTCTGGAACGGGTGCAAAGACGGGCAACCAAACTGGTAAAGGCAATTAGAAATATGTCGTATGAGGATCGCCTCCGTACATTAAAACTACCCAGTATCGAGGACAGGATACGTAGAGGTGACATGATTGAGACCTACAAGCTCCTGACTGGAAAAGTAGAAGTGAATCATGAGCAGTTCTTTGAGGTGACAATCAGGGCAGAACAAGAGGACATGAACTTAAGCTTGTAAAGAAAAGGGCAAAACATGTTTCAAGACTTAAGTTCTTCTCAAACCGAGTAGTAAACTTGTGGAACCAGCTACCCAAGGAAGTGGTTGAATCTTCAACAACCAACAGTTTCAAAAATAACTTTGATAAGCTGCGCTGGGCCACAGTTTCCTCAACCTGATCCGAAAGTCTTGTCATGATGTGA